CTCATAGTGAATTCTTGGTGCTTATGTGAGGACTGATATCATTATTTATATTTAGAGTATAAATTAAATAGTTTTCTATTTTATTCAGCACAGCGAAGGAAAAATATTATTACCATAAAATTTCTGGAGAATAAATGGTAAAATCTAGCAATTCGCGAAAATATGATACAACACGAAAAATAGATAAATCATAGCTACGCGTTGTTAATCATCTGCAAGGGTGAATATAAGCGCACCAAAATCCGGGATAATCCGAAACTTGCAAGCAACTTTGTCAATGTCCGTTCCCTTCATTCATCCCCGCGGAACTCTATATTCCAGCTAATTTCCAAAAAGGTCGTCTCCTCGAAAATCGTCCGTACGTTTCGAGTTTTCGTCACGAATCCGCAACCGGCATGGGTACCGCACGATAACGAAAAATATATAACGCAAAAAGCATAGGATGAAATATTAAAGCGCGCGTGCATTTGTCAAGGAAATTTATTCCCCTGGCTCGCTCGTCCCCGCCTTTTTCTTTTTCCATGGAAAATCGAAATAAAGAGGTCGGTTCGATGCACGACCTCGCAAAGAAAGCCACGTGGACCTAATATCCACCCACTCTCTATCCATCTATCTCATACTCTCTCTTTTCTTTTTCCCTACGATGCTGGAAGTTTCATTTTGCACGGGCGTCGTCGGATTTTCGACCAGTGGCCCGATCCTCCGGGGAAATATCCGGCCTCTATCGTTCTTCGGACGAGTAGCATTGTTTGTTTAATGATGAAAACGCGTTTGGAAGATCGATACTTTGCCCCGGTCGGTCGAAGGATCGTAGAAGCCCGGCGTTTCCGGGGAAATTAACCCTTTGACTGACACGCCGAAATCACGTGTTTCGCTCAGGATGCCATGGGAGTACTTTTATTGTTCGAAGCATATAATGGCAAAATAATAATAAATTGGTGATATAATACAACTTTCTTACCCAATGGAGCGTTTATCTTATCGGCTCATGGATGACCACTGTGACGCCTTGGTAACGGTTGAAATTGACACCAACTGTCAGTTTTCAGTCAACTTTTACAATTGTAAGTAGTTCAAGCGTCTCCAGTCACCAATGACCATCGTGACGCCTTGGTAACGGTTAAAATTGACACTAATTGTCAAGTTTTACAATTGTAAGTAGTTCAAGCGTCTCCAGTCACCAATGACCATCGTGACGTCTTGGTAACGGTTAAAATTGACACTAACTGTCAATTTCCATTCAACTTTTACAATTGTAAGCAGTTCAAGCGCTCCGGTCGCCAATGACCACCGTGGCTTCACAGGAGAAACCGTGACCGGTCATATATGACCAACTTGGCAGTCAAAGTGTTAACTGGTACTTGCATTCGCGTCACCGGAATATCCAAGACACGACACGGGGAACTTGGTCCATTTAAATAATCGAGTGATCCAGCTAGGGCCGGGGGTGATGACACCCGGCAGGGCTAAATAGAAACTTAGCATTCGCCCTGCAGTTTCCCCAGGATCGCAGTTTCCGACTTCAAAATTCCTGTTCCGGCATGTGGCAGACGAGAACCCCATGGCTGGTCGCAATATTCCGTGGCCGAATTTAAACAGGAGCGTCACCAAGATCGAAATAATACCCCGTGTCGCGGTCTCGGTCCGGACTGCTGATGGATTCAGGCTGGTTGGCTGCAGGCAACTCGCCTAGCCCACCCACGATTCAGCGCCATATTATACCCTACTGCTCGTCTGTTAACGCTTGCCAAACTTCTCGCATTCAGTCACAAGTCTGGGAGAAATCTTAATGAGGTCTTAGCACTTTGATCGTCGCGATTCGACCATAAAGAGCCATCGCGGGATGCGTGGCTCCTCGGAATCGTCGATTCGCTTTCAACTTGCCGGAGTTACCACGAAAGTCCAATAGACGTCCTGCTAGAGTTTCCACTGTGTCTTAATTGCGTACGTGGCTGAGCTTGTATGAAAAGCGTATTCATCGTTGTCAACGTTCGCTTGTTTCTTGAATTAGGATGTTACAGAGACAGGGAATTAGGTGGTCGTCGAGTCTGATGAAGGATGTTGAATTAGAAGGAGCTGGGTAAAAATTAAAGCCTGGGAAAAATAAAACTCGCCGTATCGTAACAGAGGTTAAAAGTTTTATTTTAGAGATACTCGAGGGAGCATGTCCAACAGGGTACGTCGGGGTACGTCGACAACTCACCTCGAATTTTTTGGGTTCTTTCCCATAGGGGGAAAAATTCTCCGACTACGTCTAAGCCCTTTCAGGCTACGCCATAAATTTTCTACGTCCATTTCAACAAAGGATCTATGAACGAATTAGGTTAATATAGAGAGGTATCCTACAGATCGTCACTAGATTTACTTAATTTAATTTTAACATTGATGTGAGAAATTCAATGAATATATTACAAGGTTTTCAATTATGTGGCTGAGTTTGCACGAGAAATATATTCCTATAGTCGCACTGTGGACTTCTTGCTTATTTTTTGGATTAAAAGCATCGCAGAGACTGTGCCGATCGAACATGAAAAACGATAAAGCCTAACTCTGTTTAGGTACCCAGAGTTTTCGTTCGAAGTTTGTACAAACACTGTTCGTCGAAGTCGTTTCCGTTCCGCCGACGAATAGAAATATTTTCCACTCTCTCGCGTGAAAAACTAGTAAACAACGGAGCAGATCGAGCAGAAAGCGTAGGGCGAATCGCATTTCTGAAAAATTTCCAAATTCTACCCTTTGAATTTGGAACACTCGCGGGTGGAGAAATCGGAACACCAAGAGGGTGTACACCCTTTGAAAACGAGTTTGAATATTTTATTTTATAATTTCTCGAAATTTCCTTGCTCGTTTGCACTCTTTTGACGTCTATCTATAATTTATTTATAATTTTTGAGGGATGAAGCGATTCTACAATTTTACAAGCTATCTTGAATTTTTGTTTAAATGGGAGTTCGGGAAAGGGAATTTTATGCCTTTTTCTTTTGATAAATCTACGAAAGAGGATTGCACTTTGCAGATGCTAAGAATAAGCCTCGGACAACGCGTATTTTTACGGTCGAGCAGCTTAGTTTGTATCGATTGGGTAAAGTACGAAATTAAAGAATCAAATTCCGACGACGCTTTTAATTAAGTTCGTTACGTTAAGTTCTTTTTCCGTTTCGGCCTTGTGTAGGTGAATTTTAAGCTCTTAAAAGGTCATGAATAAATATGGGCCTGCGGACTTGAGGCTCGGCATATAAACGAAATTGAAAATTTAAACAGGTATTATAAGTCTGGCAGGAATGGAAGCGTAATGAAAGGACAATTAGGAATGTGTTCCGAGGACGAAAGAGTATTTACGTTGGATTAATTCTATAACCGTGAAATTACAAGATTATGGAAGGAACATTTACTACTTGGAAAAAATTCGCGATAAGGATCTTATTTCAAATATCTTGTATTTATTACAATTAACGTATTCGATGTCAGTTGAAGAACAATATACAAGATAGCTGGATATTCTGACTCCTTTCTAAAATTTCTTATCATCAATAGGAGAACCTTTGTTTAATTAACTATAAAAAGAATATAGATTAGATGTAGAAATTTAAAAAATTGAAGTAAAAATTGCAATAATTTAAAATTAAAATAAAGTGATTGAAATAAATTACGAGGAGAAGAAATTATTTAATAATAGGGTTGTTAATGTACCACCGTTAATATCAGCGATATTTACACATACATAACACACACACGCGCATAGAGAATTACACAGCGTTTATATGCAACACTGAAAGTTTCACAGACTCGCTTCGCCTAAACGCCTACCCTCTTCAAACTTTTTTTATTAAATCAATTAAATCGATAAAAATTGCCAACACATTCAACTTCGTTACCCTAAAGTAATTATCCCCCGCTTGCCGTTCAATCAATCGATAATCTCGCCTGGCCTTTTTATTATCGTCCAATAAGCGATCGATCGACTAATTAACTTGATTACATTGTTTATGCGAGGGGTGAAAAAGGTGGGTCGTAAATCCGGCCGAAAAACGGCCGAATTTTAACTATCGACTGCGGTTTTAACCGTCCTGATAAATAATGCCCCCGGCTCCCTCCGGTGGATGCTAAATCGCGATTGTCGAGAATCGATAAAAGATATAAATCGTGGCTAATACGTAATTACTATGTTAATGCGTACGTTAATAATCTCGTAACCGGATTTATCTTTCAATTAGTCCTGTTCACCTGTCGCGTGATTTGTACGGGAACAAAAATGTGAACGCGATACCGATTCCATTTTGCTCGCCCGATTATTGTTTCGCCGATTTTTCTTCCAATCTTTATTATTTTTCCGCCTGTCGCGTTTCCCCGCCGCTTTATTTTCTGTTTACTCGATTCGATTTTCGGTCCACGCTCTATGGCGAGAGAAACGTTGAAATATTCTTGGAAATAACGATTATTGTTTTCCTTTTCATTGTACATTAAAATCGAAGGAGGAAAATGGATCTTTTAATCGGAAAATTATTACAAACAATTTACCCAATTGTCTCATGAAATCACGTGTTCCTGTACTTCGTGGAAATGTACAGAATATTCACTGTAAATTTGCATAAGCCAGAACCAACATCCGCGATATGTCAGCCATTATTACTCACCCATTACACGCAAATACGTGACGTAAATCGGTCGAAATACGCGTTACCCTATGATCAAACGCGAAACGCGTCTTGAAAATAGAAAAGCGAGGCAACTATGGACCGATTCTAGGGGGAAACGCCGGCTAACGATAACCGTGAGCCAACGAAATCGTTTTTACCTCAACTTTAATATCAACCCCGGGGCACGAACACACGCACCCTCCTCCATATTGATAGCGGGCGAATGCCAGTGTTTTCCAAATTCACGCTTTGTTCCCCGAAGGCTTTGCATCGCGATATTAAAATCCGGTTACACCGCATCCGGCGCGATCGAGATAGAGCCCCTGCGGATGTAATGAAAATGTTTTTCCACCCTTTTTGCAGGTCGAATTCATCGCGGAGGGGGTGAAAATGGAGCTGATCGAGGCTGCCAGGAGCGGAGCCGCGGGCGCGGCGGCCTGGGGCAAAATGGATTTCCACTGTCGGGAGCCCAGGTCCTCAGACCCGATCACCTTCACCACGAGGGACTCTCATCTCGTGAGTATTCTGTTATTCCGTTATGAAAAATAAGGAATACCCTCGAACAGTGTCGGATCAACACCCGACGTCTGCTCGAAACATAGGAGCCTCGAGGAATTATTTCGATACCCTCTGACAGTGTTAACAAACGAATCACGCGTGAAATCCCTGATGTGGTTCCACCCTTTGTGCTCGAGCCACTCGACGAATTAATTTTCATTAATTTGTTTGTCCATTTTTCGGAGTTTCTTTAACCCGGGATTACTGTGGCGAATTGGGTGAGACGTAAAAGCTTACGTGGTGTGCTATATTCTTTATCGATTATGCAACAATTTTAATATTCGGAAATAATTAGTTTCGCTTGTCGTTAGTCGTATACAAATGTATGAATATATATACTCATACATTTGAAAGTATTGGATGTACATTAGAAGTAAATAAGATAAAATAAAGTAATACATTCGTTAGAAGTAAGGGACATAGTGACGCTAGTGAGTTAAGTGGAAAATCCTTTCAAGTTTGTCACAGACAGATATATCAACGCAGTATCGAAACCTTTTGTGTTTTTAATACAGTAATCACGGGTTAAAATGATTGTTAATATCTTTCTTATTCTTTTTGTATTCTGTTTATTATTTTTATTTTTATTTATTTATTTATTTTGGAGGAAACAGAAGGTATTGTCGATTTGATGGCTGATAATTGAATTAACAAAGGAAATTCGAGGTGATAGAGATAGAAAGGTGGAGTTTAGAAGCATGGTGGAATGTCGATGAACGGAGAGTGGCGATTATCCAAATATTAGGTAATCGGTAAATCGGTCAGTGAAAAAAGCAGAGAGTCAAACGCAGTGTGTTTGCAATGGCGCAAGTCTCGTTTAAAGCTGTTTATATTTCGAAATTAGCGTGCGCCATACGCAAACAGGGCTGCTCTCCTTTATATGATGGATTACTCCCGACCTATTTCAACACGTCGACGTTGTTCCTTTTGTATTCTTGTTCTATCGGAAATTTAAACTCTATGCCGATTTTCTTTCGTTTATTCCTTTGTTCTTATCGCGACGCGACTGGCAAAGCGTCGAAGTGTCCTCAAAAATGTCGTACAAATCTTTAAAATTTCCAGCATTCTATGTCCTTCGTTTCCTCAAGAAATTTCGAGAGCATTCCGACAAAATTAAAATCCAATCCTTCACGCAAAACCATAATTTATCCACGATTCTTTCTCAACTCGAAATCCTGTTATACTCTCCCAATTTTTACATTTTATAGGAAATATCTTCCCCATTTTGAATATCTTAAACGCAGAAAAATATATCCTCAGCACCCTCTATTAAAAAAGAAAATCGTGTCATTATTTTCACCCCAGACATCACAGTCTACGTAAAATTAAAAGAAATTAAAAGCACGCGTGTATCTGAATTATCCATCGAAATCTCTTTCCATGTCGTTGCTCGAGAAAATTTTCAATATTCGTTCGGCGAAATCGTATGGAAAAGCAATTACGAGAAACGATTTACTTCTCTGTTATCTATTATCTATCATCCCGGATAATCGACATTCCACCACACTCGTGACCACTCTTCCACAGCCATAACAGTCCTCCTCCGTCACCGATACCGCATCGAGCACAAAGGGTAGCGAATTAACGGATTCAATCCAACATAAGCATCCGTGTCCCAGCCAAGGCAACATGGCTGCCATAGTCGGTCGTCCATTACGAGAAACGGTAGGCCAGAAGCGAAACGACCCTTCGAACAACCTCTCTGACGTCCGCGGAAAATTAAAACACCCTAAATGCAAGGGGGGTAGCGATTCCGAAAACAATCCGCGAGTACTCGAACCGGCGGCGCAGGGAAATTTAAAAGTCGTGTAGCCGAGGGAACCGAGTTTGTAATGGCTGACCTTATCGAATGACGCGTTACCAGCGCGGAAATTTAAACGGAACCGCGTCTGAATTACGCGGTGCGGTTCGCATAGCAAAGAGCAGAAAGCAGTTGAAACGCCATTCTACCTTTAGTGCCTCTAGCAACGGTTCATGACTCTCCCGTACAATGATTGTCGAGCACGTTTCATGGCATTCGGACCATTCCGCTCCGCGTGGCCCCAGTGTTTCTCAAACTTTTCATCGGAATTGCTCGATTATGACCCTCTTGCCTATTAAATTCGAACGCTTCGTGGGACTTGGCATGATATTGCGATATGGTCCATGGGCCTTACTAGTCCGGAAGACCGGGGTTGTTTTATCCGGATACTCTTTGAACGTGATTTAAAGCTTTGATCGTCGCGGGCTTCCGATGTTCCGGGATATTCTCGAGAGCCGGATCTTGGGGTAGTTTCGTTTGACGTTCGGCACATAGTTGGTCTTTGTGTATGGGTGACAGAGTCCTAACGTTGGAATATTTTCGAACATTTCAGAAATGTTATAAATTTCGGAATTTAAATAATTATCAGGTGCGACGCGAAAATATAATAATCTCAAGCAATAGAAAGAAAACTTAAAACATTTGCGTAATAGAACCGCGACGAAATAAAGTTTCAATTATTCGTAAATAATATTACCGTAACATTTGTATAATTGAGCCGCGATGAAATAAAATTTCAATTAATCGTGAATAATATTTCTGTAATTAATTAGACGAGAGATACACGATCCCATTTCTGGAATTTTATTTATTCACTGGCCAAAAGCGAAATCCCACGAGTGACTACATTCTCCCACGCATCTTCAAACATTAATACCCGTCTTCACGGTACATCAGTCCATTAATTGCCAATGATGGCTTCGAAAATCCCGAATAAATTCTGCAAAATAAATCGCCCGTAACGAAATCCAGCAGACCCTGGTAATCCGCTTAAAGGACGAGCGTGTACGATCTATTGAATCTCTCTTTGCAACCTCCTCCATCGAAACCGAGACCAATCGCATAATCGAAATCTCGAAAACTGGAAATTCCGGCGAGCGTTTGTGATTATATAATGGTAAATGAAGCGTGCGCCGGTAAATACTGGGAAACCGAAATCGATGGAAACCAGGTCGAGTAACGTGGGATCAGGAGATGATGCATAGGTGACTTGGTAAAATATCAACGAAAAAGTTTGAAAGACTGAGAGAAAATGAGAGATAGAGACAGAAAAAGAGAGAGAAAGAGAGAGAGAGAGGAGAACGCGTAGACAGGCGGCCTCAGGAGCCGCGAAATGTCGTCGTTGCCATTGCAAATCCTTGTTACCCCATTTATCGCGGGGGTTGGTCGGCGAAAAGGGGTGAAACGTGAGCGTGAACTAGAATGGCGACCGTCTAACCGGATACACGCTTCCTTGGAATACATTTCGCAGTCTTGCCGTGGCGTTTGTTTACGAGCATGACTGTTCGTGGATTATGGTGGCCATCGACATGCTTTGTACTCGCCCTGTCTTCTAACGTAATTTCTCATTCGTTCATGAGCACTGGCTGTGTGACGAAGTGAATTAGTAGTGGTCGAGTGCGTTTCAACAGGTATGAAGTGTGAAGGAGGGACTAGGAATTTTCATTCTTTTAAAATTTTCGAGTAGTTGTGGTATACGTGTTCTTGTTAGGTCTTTAATCCTTTATACTGGGCGATTTTTTCGTTATAGAAAAATACCGATTCGTAGATATTTGGTATTTTTTGAAATGGTAAGTGAGGATTAGCTTGAGCTATTTTTAATTCGATATATTGATCGATTTTGGGCTTTAGAATTTTATTATATGGTGACTGCAGGTTGCCTGTCGAGTTCAGAGGGTTATTAGGTTTTCGTGAGATATTTTAGGTTAAGTTGTACTGTCAGTGATAGTAATTTGTACAATTTTGTGAGTAATAATACAGTAATTATGGTGATTTGTCATGGTTAACTATTTTTTTGTATTTTTTGGTAGTAGTCTTTTGGTTAGTTGAAGACTATGAATGATTAGCGTTGACTGTTATAATTATTTTGTTCATCGGTATTATAGCAATTTTGGATTTTGTTAGAAAGTTGTTCTATTGTATATATGTATAACATTGTATTATGTTTCTATATAGTGTATTATTGTATATTATTATTTTGTGTGTTATACGAGCATAATTAATGAGGAATATTCAGGTACATTGCGGTCAGATGTTTTGTTAACATATTAAAAAATATTTTGCATTATATATGCTAACATTTAGCATATTCAAATCATTGGTTTTAGTTACCTGAACGATATGCATGAATTAATCTCAATATAAATTTGTTATGAATATTAACGAGGTTCGACAAATTTTAATCAACCTAATCGCCATTCCTCGGTATCGATATTCTCATTGTTTTCCAATACTTCCATGATTATAGCAAAAATTTATAGGAATCATGAAAGAACTTCGTAAGATATTTCTTTTTTTTTAATAAACTTCAAGAAAAATTAATTATAAAGAGATTTGCATTATTCCACGAAAAATTAAAATTCGTGTTTTCCAAGATAGAGATTACTTATTTCACGTAACATTGTAAACACATAATAACCACGGCATCTTCACATACACACGCCGCTGCTCATATATTCTTAACCGTCGCCAACCGCTTCCTCCAAAGCCTCTCATAACCTCAAATCCGTAGAAATCCCCAACAAAATCTACGATCACCCAAAATCCGTGTTTCCCTCTTCAAAAATCCACCGCAGGCAACCACAGAAAAATAACCACCCTTTGTCACGACCGCCCGAAAAGTTCAAATTTCTCAAATTCTCTCTAAAATATTCTTCAAATTCGGTCTCTTTCATTATCAACGACAATCACCAACGATCAAACAAATTGTTCGCATATACTTAACTTCTATTGTTCAGAATCCACGCTTTCTACCCCAAAAATCCACCCCAGGCAACCAGGAGATTAAAAAAAGGAAAAAGAGAAACCACCCTTTATCACGATGTCCGGAAAAATTCAAATCCCGGTTAAAAAATTCTGCCAACAGAGGCTCGTACCTTACCAACGACTTTAATCACCGAGGACCAAACAAACTACCCCCGCCCCGACAACGTCACCG